CTGCGTTGTGAACTTAGTCTGGTTGGTTTCACAACTTGTTTTGAATCGATTCTTCCGTTTGTAATTAAGTACAGTTTGATGTACTGGTCCGACTGGGGTGCCAGCCACAAAATTGAGGTCGCTAGCATGGATGGAAATAACAGAAGCACATTGGTTAAAAGAGGAATTTACTCGCCAAATGGGCTAACCTTGGATGGTGCAAATAACAGGCTTTATTGGGTAGATGCACGGTTCCATGTATTGGAATACTACGACCTTGAGCGTCATACCATTAAAACTCTGCTTCGTAACAGTTATGTCTTACGGAACCCATTTGGTTTGACATCCCTCGAAGATGACATTTACTGGACTGATTCAAGTTCGGGTGTTGTTTACCAGTCGCAAAAGGACTTTCCGTCAAAAGTTACAGCTCTCGTTCGCGGTTTGTCACGACCATTGGATATACATGCTTATGACAGGACTCGGACTATTCCAGGTATTTGATTGGCTATCACAATGGGTCTAAATATTCTCAACTTCTCTCTCTCTTACACCTCTGCTCGTTTTGTATTAACTATATCAAACAAACCCCAATAATTACACTTGATAGATTGATAGATTTTTATCAACACTTATTTTTCTTTTGCTTCCATTTCAGACCATCCTTGTTCCTTGTCCTTTGGTGGATGCTCTCATCTCTGCCTTATGAGACCGAAGGGATACAAATGCGCATGCCCTGATAATCTCAAACTGTCGAAAGATGGGAAAACATGTATCCCCCCGACATACAGTAAGACGCATGTGACATACTAACTTGCAAGTGGTATTCTTAACTACTTAAACACTTAAACTGTAGATAACCAGATTACGACGACAAGAAGATGTTGATCAATCATTCCGCGACGCTTGCTCTTGGTTGAAATACGCTTATGTTTTAGTTCAAACACACCTCATGAAACTATTCTTAGTTTCAACTCTTGCAATGATGTTAGAGTTGCAGCAATATAATAAACTCTTTCGATTCATTTTCATTCCGTATCAGTTACTTTTATCAGGGAATCTTAATGATGATTTTGCTTTTGTTCAGCTCTCTAAGCTAACAACATCCAATTATTCCTTCAGTATTTCAGAAATTCTTGCTGTTTGCTGATGACTGGGATACAAAAATATACATCGTCGATTTGGATGATTCCAATTTTTTGGCCAAAGCTCTGCCGATAGGAGGTTTCTACTATGAACCATATGCGCTTGGAATGGACATTACAGACAACAGAGTCTACTGGACAGGCGTCTACCAAAACAGCATTAGGAGGGCTTTCATAAATGGAACATCACCAGAAGTTGTTGTTTCTGTAAATGTGCGTAATCCTGCTGGACTTGCTGTCGACCCAGTGGGAGGAAACATCTATTGGAGTGACACTTACACCAAAAAGATTGAAGTCAGCAGAATGGATGGAACCATGAGAAAAGTATTGATAGACAAGGATCTAGACAAACCAATGGATATAATTCTCGATCTCACTAAAGGGTAAGTTCTCTTTCCTAGTCATTGTCTCCTTAAAGTGATCCTTCACCACTGCACTGTGTATCCTGTGCTGTGCGTAACATCACATGATTTGGCGAGTAAGTTTGCGCATTCTGAGAACATGGTTTCGCTTTTCTAAATCAATGGTCGAGGTAAAAAAGTACGATGGTCTTTTGCTCTCAAGCGAGCAATGTGACCTACCCATTTATTAAACTATCTTATTGACCAAGTTATTCCCTTGATGTAAGAACAGTTTATGAAAGGATATCGGAAGGAAAAATAAATTTTGCTAAAAGCGTACACGAAGATTGTTAATCGAGGATGCAAATTATGACCTTGAAAGCAACGACTCGGGGAACTTTTAGAGTTGATGTCATTTTGGTATCGCGTAATTTTCCCATAAATTGTAGATAAAATTGTTCCTTACGCTCGATAGTTTTCATCAATCAGGCAAGTATTTTTTCGAGTTTAACGTTAAAAACCCTTGCTCCCAGTTACTACGAAATGTTAGCCGACGAAGTAACGCCATTGATTAGTACCAACACAGTCCTACATTTCTTTAGCATGCACACTGACATAGTGTTTTTTTTTATTACAGTTCTGAGATTGGTAGGTCACATTTAAGGAGAGTACAAGGGAAATCGTTCGACAGCCTTTTCACATTTTTTATTGTACCCTCTATTGCAACAAAACGATTTGAATATGTCAGAAGAAGCTCATTGCACCATGCATACTTTTAGGATCATTATATCTTTTTTCATAGGCACAAGCCTGTCCTGTCCTGTCCTGTCCTGTCCTGTCCTGTCCTGTCCTGTCCTGTCCTGGGAATAAAAGGGAAAGGAACGAACCTTTCTACTCTTTTGTTGATGACAACAAATTTTTTCTTTAGCAGTCTTAGGTTCCACAAATGGCCTTCAAACGTAAACAGTTCCTTTAAGCTCTTATTGGGCAAGTATCAAATAACGAGCTTCTGCGAAAAGGATATATCAGTGCCAATTCTTTTTTTTTTGGTTTTAAGTAAATAAGGTCGATATTATGTCTTACTTTAAGGACATACCGCAAGAGAATTTTAGGAAATTTCATCACAATCTTTTGTCTCTAAGCCATCAACGCACTTTTCGCCAAGAAGCCGAATCATTAGTCTTAAGTATGTCTTTTACTTGATTTCCTCTGTTTTTGAGGTTGATCTATTGGTGTGACTGGGGTACCGTGCCTAAGATTGAAACCGCTAACATGGACGGAAACAGTCGGCGGATGTTGGTTAAAAGAGGATTAGATCAGCCAAGCGGTCTCACTTTAGATGAAGCAAATAATCGGCTCTACTGGGTAGACGCATACTTTAACATCCTTGAATACTATGATTTGGAACGTCACACTATAACAACTGTAACGCAAGACAGTTCTAAATTAGGATATCCATTTGGTTTGACGTTTCTCGAAGATCACTGGTATTGGACAGATCGGGTGCATGATGTTGTCCGTCGAGCGGAGAAAAAGACACTTTCAAATATAAAAGTTGTTGTCAGGGGCCTTGATAGACCCAGAAATATATATGCGTATGATAGAAATAAACCTCTCCCAGGTAAGCAACTCTTAGCACCTTAGCTTTGTCTTTTTCGGTCTTCTCCTGAGTCACCTCTAGAAACATTTGAAGAGATATCCACAGTGCCGTCTACATTAGGCAATGATGATTTTTTTCCAGTCCCTTTCTGATACCATGAAAGATCAATAATGGATTGCTCATTACTAATCTACCAGGTTGAGGGCGTATACTACTTGACTAAAGGCGTTTTACTTCATTAATAATGTTAGGCAGTTCTCAACACTTAGAGAAGAGATATGGTGTGACAGAATATGACACACAATGAGCATCGAGAGCGTGTAAAAGTATATAATCTCCCTAATTGAAATGATATCTTGACTTGTCATTGTTAAATTCGTGATCGTACAGCTCGCACAAAATTCTCAACAAAAGTTTGTTTTCTCAGCTTGTACAAGTTATCATGATGGTTTTTGGCAAGGAATATAAACCAGTAACTTTTAATTAGTTTCCAGTAATGATTAAAATACGATTACGTTATCACAGTATTTAAGCCAAATAATGTTTAGATATACTAGGGGCTAGAGGCAGACTCGTAATTTTTCTTATGAATTCGGAGGAGGTCAAATCAAAACCTTGTTAAAAAGGAAAGAGATTATCTTGCATTTCTCATGGTAATGAGCACATGATTATGTCAAACTTTCTTTACACCAGATCACCCTTGCTCTAAGTCCTATGGTGGATGTTCTCACTTGTGTCTTTTGAGACCGGATGGTTATAGGTGCTCCTGTCCAGACTACTTGCGACACGGTGAAAATTGCTCTACGTCTGGTAAGTGTTCTACATGAGGATGGCCTTTTGGTTTTGACGAAGAATATCGAAATTAAACAACAATAAACATATGAAACATATGTATGAACTGCGGTTATGAAACGTATATGTGCACGATCCTTCGCAGTAAAGCACTATTTGAGCAATAGTGAAAATCAGACCTGAAAAAAATTTCAGGCCTGTACGGGATTCGAACCACTGACCTCTGCGATACTAGTGCAGCGCTCTACCAATTGAGCTAGATTTATCATCTACGGGTTTATGTCGAATTAATTTGATGGCCTGCTCCCAGTTGGCTTGTTAGCTCAATTGGTAGAGCGCTGCACTAGTATCGCAGAGGTCAGTGGTTCGAATCCCGTACAGGCCTGAAATTTTTTTCAGGTCTGATTTTCACTATTGCTCAAATAGTGCTTTACTGCGAAGGATCGTGCACATATACGTAAATATCGAAATTAATAGTCAGACATAACCTTGTCAGACCTTTTCTTGGTCAGGTCCACACAAAACAAAGCAACGAAAATAAACAACAGCTTTCTTTACTCGACGAGTAAGCTTATTTAGTGATTGTTAGTGCCAGTGTGCTTGTACACTTGTCTTTTGGTATTATCTGTTCCTTTGAACAACTAATTTTCCTTTAGCTTCGCGTGCGTTAACGCTTTTGCTTCTCGAGACAAAGAATTTCCATAAGAATTTCCTCTCTCTTTTCTTCCTTTTTCTCTTTCTTTCTTCACATCTTATCAAAATCTTTCTTCTCCAAAATCAGTCCACCTCCATTCTCCACCTTCTTTAAGTACGCCTCAAGCCACAACTTTACAGACCACCAGGCAGACAACCAGACAACAGACGACCAACGAACCTCCAGCTACAACCCTTGAGACCACCAGGAGGACAACGCGACAGCAAACAACCAACAAGCCTCCAGCTACAACCCTTCAGACCACTAGGGAGACCACCAAACAGCCAACCACCAACAAGCCTCATGGTTCAACCCTATTCACCACCACACAACTGTCATCCACCCGACACCAATCAAATCCTACTAGTCCTACCGATTGTCGTTCAAACAAGTGTAGAAATGGAGGATTTTGTGTAATCCCTGGTTATTTTTGCGAGTGTCCGAAGTATTACGTTTGGGACCTCTGCCTTGTTTACGTTGGTAAGCGTGAATCAAGTAGATTGAGCTTGTACTCTTCTTCTTCCTTCCCTTAGAAATTGTGCGTCCAATTTTTAAGCAGGATCTTGAAATAATGGAGGGCCAGGAGGTGGAGGAGGGCGGGTATGTAGGTAGAGATGGAATACATAGAAGAACGGTAGCACCCTAGGCATTCAAATGTTTTCAAGTTGATTGGCTGGTTATCGTTTTATTGTTACTGGCGTTTATAAAGACTCTTGCCTTTAAAGCTGATTTGGTTTAAGTAGGTCATGTATGCCCTGATGCCACAGAGGTGTAAATGTTTCACACCGAGAGAATCAGTCTACAGGAAGATGATAGAGCACTGGCGAAATGTAGTTGTATTAGATTTGGGCTGTCCCCCCGACGTAGTAGCATGTTCTTGTCTTCTTTAGCTGTACAGGCTAAACAAGAAAGTCTGAATTACAATCTAGATTGTAAGAATTCCTTTTCTGGAGTAATATTAACGGAGAGTCCCCTTTTTTTCAACAGTCAAATTAAATCAGTTAGGATTACAAAACACAAGAATGGACCGGTGTAAGAAGCAAATCGTAAGATAACAAACAAGAATAGTGCTAGAAGGACTTTACGAGATCTAGTGAAAGGGTTGATACCTCCCAGCAGAATCGTTGTAATTGTAGAAGGGTCTCTTAAAAATGCCCCTCTTATTTTAGGTTCAAGTGCCGTAGAAGTAGAGCTAAATCTTCAAAACGAGGTAAGGATGCTGCGTTTTGTTTCGTGCTAACCCCTCTACCCCCTCCTCCCCCTCCCCCAGCATAACCATTCTTGCATATTTTGAGGCATAGAAACTTCGATAGAAAATGTAAGAACGGCGAATCAAGTTGTAATTGATGGAAGAGGTCAGAAAATTTTATTCAACTTCTATTTTATTGAGAAAAAGCACAGACTTGCGACGCGGGCCATCACGTAAGAAAAGTATATTCCTTTTCCTTTCTTATCCCGACCATCAGTTTCAACAACGACTGATTTCCTATCTAATATGGTTAAAAGTAATATGCTTTAGAAATAACATTGGACTTTGAACCATGTTCCCAATGACGGGTTATTTGCTCTGTTATCAAGTGGATTTGCTTTCATCTACTCCACATTCTGCAAACAACAATTCTAACAGTATAGCGTCGGCGGCAGAAGAAACCGCAAGTTTTGTTTAAAAATTACGAAAAGAGTATAGAAGGAAATTCTCACTACATAGAACAATCCTATTTTCATTTCATTGAATTTGTCTAGAAGCAATGGATACCATACAACTTCCAAGCGGCAGTGGCAAAAGCCTGCACGAATTCTTTTTGCGGAAATGAGGAATGTGAAAGGTAATGGTAGGATTTGATTTATATATCTACACTCCTTACATTGAAGAGTAATCCTCTCCATAGAAAAAAGAAAAATCAAACTGCAAATGAAACTGGTTCCTTTATCTGATTGACAAAACACTCCACTATTCCGCTAAATTTACATAGGAAGAAATTTTTTACACCCCATTTAGACCAATCAGCGAACTTGTTATACACCCCTCCTCCCTTACCACTTTTTGGGTTTTTCTTAAAATTGTTTTTCGATACATCTGTAGCACGTCAAGGCAAGATAGTCACTCAGAAAAGGAAAAGAAATTCGTGGCTTCTGATGCTAAAATACTTGGACTTTCTTTCGGCGGAGAAAATACTTTGAAAGTAGGAGTAGCTGTTTTATTTCCATCCCTGGAAGGCCAGGTTCCTGAGCCTTTACCTCGTGCTACACTCGAACAAATACTCCAAAAAAATGAAGGAAGTCTTGGAGAAGCCATTGGAGGCACAATCATCAGGATCGGTAATAACATTTTTAACCTCTGTTGCACCTCACTTGGGAAAGGCAATCAGCCAGTTTCTTTTATTAACATAAAAGCGAGACATACAATAAAATCTGAGAGGTCTTATAGGTTAAAAGAGGACAAGTCAGTTCTACCCACGAATTCCTTTGTTGTGGGGAATCTCAGGTTTCACTCTCTAGTCTCAGACCTCTACATCCGCTTGGTCAATGAATTAGAGAAAAAGGAAGCGTTTTGGTTAGAATCTGAGTTAGTTTTCACAAGCCATCTCTTTTATATGTTATCATAGAAAATTAAAGTATGGTTAACTTAGAAAATTTGCGCTGATTTAATTCACGTTTATTCCTTTTCGTTTCTTTATTTGTTTGTTTGGTTTTTTTATTTGCCTCAATTTCTGATTAATCATTTCTGTGACCCCTGATTTCTACTAGCCAATGGTCCAAAAATTCACGATACTACCCAAACATTTTGACGATTATGAAAGAGTAGATTTTCATCTCACAGTCTTTCTTCACAAAGCAATATTACAAGTATATCAACTACCGACTCTAAATTAAGCGCTCAAAATGGTGAGATTCCTTTCCTTGTACACCTATTACTAAATTTAGTGACGACTGCGATATAATATCCCGAAATCTGTCTTAAATATTAAGAGGATATATTAATCACCTTGTTTGAAGTACGTGTGGAACATCAGTTCAGTTACCAGGACCTGTCAACCAACCAAAACTTAGAGCTTGATATACATGCATCACGGCTAGTTTGAAACTGTAAAACAATTAACACAATTTACTCTTTTTCCAGGCAAACGACAGGTAGAGAACCCAAAAAATAGAGAAAGATCATCTCAAGATAAAGAGACGTTTAACGTGCCAATTGTCGCTGGGTTGGGAGGCACTGTTGTTGTACTGTTGTTTATTTTGGCATTCTTCGTCTACCAAATGAAGCGGTGAGGCTTTCAAAAGAACTTACTTTATTTTATCAATCAATCAGTGAATCGATCAATCAACCCATCGACCAGTCATTATGGAGTAGGCCAATATGTTTTGGCATTGACATTTACAATCCTGTCAATCTCTTTCGTCGTTATCCTTCTCTTCCCTTTTTCTACTCCATTCTACTTGTTCTAGTGCTTGTAGAGTCTAGGTCCTCCAGAAAAAAATTCAGTATTTACATTCGACGAAGTAGAACGTATTTCATAATCTTGGGTGTGACCTATTTTGAGATTTGTTCGTCGACCGTCTGTACGTTCTGCGCCATTATGAATGACGTCATATATCATACGTTTTTGCATTCACAATGAAAAAACGGGCGTCTGCGCTGCCGAGTTCCAAAACTTCCAAGGCTTTTTGTTCCTTTCCGATAAAGTAACACCTTCTGGAACTCAAAATGAAAAATATTAAATATGCCATCGAATACTCCGCTTGGAAAATAATGGACATAAATACGCTTTCAAGTCAACAACACCACAATTCTCTGAAGCGATACCAATTGTGGCTGAAGGTGAAAAACGAACTCTCGAAATTCGAGCGAGGCTTAGCGAAAATTTGAAGACTCCAAGGCCCGGTAAATACTATGTTTGAGTTAAAATTAAGTGACTTTTAGCTTTTATCTTGATTTCTGAGTAAAAATTTATTTGATGTATCGCTTTTTTTCTTTGAAAATAAGTTATTTAAATGGTCTTCTTTCACTGGAGCTTGCTTTTGGGAAAACATGATATTTAAAAATTTACTTTGCTTTTCCAGACCTTTCCGGTTTCTCCAAAATTTTAACTTTTGCTTACCCTTGCGTTACACTCGGGTGTCAGTGGGTTAAAACAATGTTTGGGTGCTTGTTTCTGACAGACTGTTTAAGGAGCCTGCATGGGCCCCTCTTGACATATGCAGACAAGTACCACCACGCCATACTCTCGAGCCAACTGTTAACTCGAACACAATCCATAACTTGAGCTGTGATTACTTCTAGTTTGTATATTTACTTTCTTATTACTCCGGCTGCGATAAAAATAAACCAAAACATCGCGAAGTTGCTCCTTTGAACTTAGAGATGTCGCAGTAACTTGCGACTGCATAAAAAATTTCATTCACTTCTATAGTTGACAGAATGGCATTTACGAGAATGGGGCTGTTGATGTGGTTGTTTTCTTTTTTTGTTGGAATTGTCTGATTTGTATTTCAGGAAAAGAAATTATACAGGGAAAATGACAGACGACATCATTTTGGACAGTGACTTGGTTCCTCCCAGAGTCAGTCTTATCACTAAATTTGAAAATCCAGCGTATATCGCAGAATGTCCAATGCATGAATCTACCCACCACAGTGGTGGATCGGTGACATCTAGACAAGAGCAAGTCAACGGGGTTGGATCCTTGAAAAACAATAAAAAAACAGAGAAAGCACCCGAAAGAACGTTCATGAGTAATCCAACCTATGGTGTGCCATTCACTGAAGATCCTGCAATCATCGAAGATTCTGAAATTCGCAATGCCACTATTGAGCAGAAGAAAGCAGAACCATAGACAAAACGATCCCGGGTGACTGATAAAGTCAATAACGTTAGTCTTGTAGAATAGTGCAAAGGACAGTGACATGTTTTAGGACTAGATATTACTTAGATATTCTGCAAAAAGGAATTAGGTTTCCGTGGTAACTGCATTTTTCGTTGTTTGCTTCTAAAGAGAAAACTAATCAAAAGCTTAAGGTCCAAAAATCAAGCTGGAGTTGATATTTGCACAACAACGGCCCTTAAATGTATCGCAGGGCTTAAGTAAATTTCTCTATGTTTAAAAGTCTCTTTTCCGAATGAAAGAAGAAAAATGGTTGATTTTGGCCCCTGACCTGGAATAAAGAATAATGCATTGTATTGACTCAGAAAGTTATGCACAATCTTTGTTTAGCATTAGCCTTAGCACCATTACTGTTGTTTACATAACGACTCCAGTCACGGTAAAAGAGACTTGGAGGGATGTTACTGATTACCATTTGAATTCTTGCAATAGTTTGCTATTAGGTCAGCAAAGAAAAGAGAATTAAGAATTAACTACATTTTTTACTGGTATTCATGATATTCTTAGTCTAATTGCTGCAATTTGATATTGTTACACTTTTCTACTTTTTCATTAGTATTATTTCAAATAATCACAGTTAAAAAGAAAGATTAAAGATCCAGAGTTAAATATGTTTCACCGTTTACTTTCCATTTAGCTATCCCTATTATAGTATTAGTGCCTAGCTTAATATCTTCCCTACCTCGTTATTTATATGTCATGTCCTCTTCCCAGTGTTCCCTTCAGTATTTCGTCTTGTTTTCTCTTTTACCGCCAATTTTCCTCCCAGAGACACTTTTCTTTTATTGATCGCGCTCCCTTACTCAAATCTTCTTATCGTTCCCTATTTTCCTTCTGAAACGGATAGGTCTCTTTCGTCATATAAGTCCTTATCTAAAACGGAATCAACGTGAAATTTATTATTCCACGATTATAAAACCTGTGTTCCTTTATAGCAGCTCGATATGGACCTCTTGTAATAAGGAAAATCTTCGGAAAATTTTTCGTCTTCAGAAACGTACGGCTAGAATTATTTTAAATGCCGAAAAAACGGCCCCTTCTGTTCATTTATTCAATACTTTAAACTGGATTCCTTTCTACGCCGAGTCATATGTAAATCGCTCTACCTTAACTTACAAAAGACTTAATGGTAATACTAATCAAAAACTCTGACATCCATAATAAAAAAAACAGATTCTGTAATCATGTAAAGATGAAACAATTTTTAGTGTAATAGAAAAAATCCGAGCCTCAGATGGGACTTGAACTCACGACCCTCCGTGATCTAGTCGGATGCTCTAACCACTGAGCTACTGGAGACTCTATGGTGAGCAATATGACTCTATGGTGACTCTATGGTGACTCTATGCTCACCATAGAGTCTCCGGTAGCTCACTGGTTAGAGCATCCGACTAGATCACGGAGGGTCGTGGGTTCAAGTCCCATCTGGGGCTCAGATTCTGTAATCTAAATTTAAGTTGTCCTCACTACAAGAGATGTACGGAAGGTTGCCGGACGTTCACCGTAAGAGCAATCCAAGAATGGAACAAGCTGAATGTAGATCTTAAAAGTAGTCCTAGCGCAAAACATTTTAAAGGATCACTCTATAAATCAATTTTTAAAAATCAATTTATTACTCAGTCTTTTTATTAATATCTAGTAGTTTTTATATCCTTTTTATATAAATTATGTATTGCAAGATTGTAGGTCAGTTTTTGATTGATTTTCTCTTTTAGTTACTTCGAGGGCCATTAGGTTATCAGTTTAGTTACTGTCAGATGTCATCCTCTCCAATAAAGTCTACTTCTACTTCTACTCCTTCTTTTTTTCGCTCCCTACTTCTCTACCACAGCACGTTGTTCCATTCTACTTGTCAGTTAATTTTCCATTTGCACTTTCTCGTGCGTTATTTGACCGTTTCTCTTTTGATATTGTCCGCCATATTACGTTTTCCCGTCGCTGTGTGCTGCTTTTGGGTGACTTCCCTTAGGTTTTTGCGTCAAATGTGTGGTTTTGTACCTTCTTTTTGCTTGCGTCCTATTTCCTTCCCGCCTTCCTTGTAAACTTATTGGACGCCTTGTCTTTGGAAAAAAAATTACAAGAATAGTCCTTCTAAAAAAAGCATAGGGGCTCCAGGGCATCGCGGTCACTGCAAACTAATTACGACGCCGTGCTCGTCGGCTTAGGTCGTCCCTCGGTGCTCCATAAATCCCATATCTCATAATTTCAAGCAAAAGAGAATATGAACTCAGAAAAGACATTGAAATTAACGCATGTTTAGCCGGGTTTGGTGCGAATAGTTCCAATACCTTAAGGCGGTATTGTTTTTTACGACAATCGGTATTATTTCTGCAGACATACATGTATGTGAAATTTCTGCTAGCATTTTGCCTACTGTCGGAATTTGTGAAAGTAGTGACATTATCAAAGTAATTTAAACTTGAAACTTTGGAAATCTAAATTACGCTTCACCAACAGTCGTTAACTGCATATAATATGGAAAGAGGTGAACGGGTAGTTTCTAGATGAAATAGCAGTGTTTTTAGTGCCAATCCTTCAAAAATGCTCAATGCTCAAAGGATAGGTTACTCCGCTTTCTGATTGAATGCTTGAAAAGAAGAAAACTGTAAAAAAAATTTCTATAATCATGCCTCCTTCGAGCATGATTCTACTTTTTATTTTCATACAAATTGACTTTCTGAGCCTCACTTTATTTTTCAGCGAAAATTCTTTTGTTTTTACACTTGTACTTGAAGTCGGAACTACTGATTCAAAGAATAGCAATTTCTCGTGTCATTTATGGAAGAGGCCTATACAAGGATAGAGAAAAATGCACTTAAAAAAAATAGAAAATAAAACATATAAGATGCAAGAATTCCCGCAGGCTCCCGGAGATGATGTCAGAAACGTTCGGCTCAAATGTTTACATCTGGGAGGTTACAAAAGTTAAGCAGTTAGTTGCTTGTGATAGATTACGCAATTTTATTTCCAAGAAAGAATCACGAAAGGTTCATAGCATGGTAAGAAGCATGGTAAACACGTCTGCCGAATCCGTCTATTGTTTTCACTTTACTCGTGCGTATAATAATGGTGACACTTTGACGCTTAAAGCACGGGGCCCGCGCAAAAAAATGGAACTAATCAGATATGATCTATACAAATGGGTCTTCTCGGCTTTTCGCTGAGCACAGTTAACGGTTCTGTCCTGGTGTACCGGTTCACAAGGGAATTACCATTGTTCTTTCTTTGTTTAGGAGTCATTGGTTAGCTGTTGTGTATTGTTCGGTCTTTTGTATCGGCTCTTGTGAACCGGTACGCGAGGACAAAACCCAGTTAACAGTCATTCCAAGATCAAGACGGAGAGCTAGAGATAATGAGAGCAGACTTTTTCTGTAGAAAATTGTCTTCTATGCAAAATTATCAGACAGATACGCAAAGTGAGTCCTGCGTAGGTGGGAAAGAAGGACTCAGACCAAGAAGGTTAGTAAATAGCTACTTTAATATGCCGAATTTAAACGGTATATAAAAAAAATAATAATACTCCAAATAGTTCGGCTTGACCAGGTGTGAATAAGCAGAAATACGCAAGTTGGTCATTTTTGTGAACTTCATGCCACGCTGCTCTTAACGATTGAAACGTTTATTGCTTTTGTAGCCCACTGTAAAATTGTTTTCGCGGACTTGTATATGTTTATGGGGATAGGAATATAATCTGTTGCAACTTAAACTACACCTTTAAATAAGCAATTTAAATATTTCTGCGTAGACTTGGGTGCTTTTGAGGACAACAACGCTTGTTTAGTTTAAATTTACTTGCTACTTTGCGTTTTGATTTTTCAAAGAATACGTGTACTGGTTCATGTATCACCTTTAAAATTCAGTTTATTGGAATACAAAAGTCTTTCGTAATTTGACAAGGGTCGCTTCATTCTGAGCCGCTGTGTCGGAAGGTGGATTCATCATATTGAATATTCATTTCATCTCCAAGTGGAACTAATTCAGTTTCATTGATTTAACCAACAGCAATCCAGCGTGGAGCTTCAGTCTAGTTAGTTCCATCTAGGCCACTTCAATTCAGTCCATTCCATTCCAAACCTGTAACATTCGATTTAGTCCACTCCGGTCCTTTGTAGCCAAGTTCAGTCCAGTCCAGGCTCTTTCTGTCCTGTCCAATCTTCCTGGTCCAGTCCGGTTCGATATGGTCCGATTCAGCGCGATCCAATGCAATCCAGCTTCATGCAGCTCAGTCCACTTCAGCTCATTCCATTTCAGTCCAGCCATTCAATTAAAGAGCTGACTTCTGTGACCAGGTCCACTTGTATTAGGATGTGAAAGGCGGCGAAGAAGAGGGCCAACGCCGCATTCTTCTCTCCATTTCCGTCGCATGCGAGTGGACTGGAAACAAGTCAGTTACAAGACGCTGATGGAAGACTTAAAAAACCGGTTTGTGAAATTCTTTGGGGTTCGGGAAGGAGGGGGTAAAATATAGAGCTCTGGTTGAACCTCATCTCCAAACTCAAACAGAAGTTAACAAACATCTCGATCGACGTAATCTACTTTAGTTTACTTGGTTACATTGGTTAGCGGGCCCTGGGGTTGGTTTGGGTCCTCCCTCCAAATTTTTTTCTATGGGTTTTTTTATGTATGTTTTCATATCGCTTTTGCTCGGTCGGATTTTCGCTTATTTTCGGCTGTACTTCGATTTTTTTCCTTAAATAAATAATGATTTAACAATGGACATCCACTGGGTGGCTATTCTTGTCCACTGTTCCAGATCGAATTGGAATTTGGAATGTTGGTTTTTACGGAGGGAGGAAAACCGGAGGACCCGGAGAAAAACCCTCGGAGCAAGGACGAGAACCAACAACAAACTCAACCCACATGAGACGCCAGGTCCGGGAATCGAACCCGGGCCACAGTGGTGGGAGGCGAGTGCTCTCACCACTGCGCCATCCCTGCTCCCCATAATACTTCGGTTTCTCCGAAACTACTGCGGAACGGTTCTTCGGCAAGACGTCGACTTGGTTTCAGTTCGGCTTTTATCATTTAACGCGCGCCTCCCCGCTTTGTTTGCATCAGTTGCGGCCAATTTTGTCCGAGATATCACTTGATTACAGTGTAGCTGAGCACTTAAATCAAGTGAGACTAGAAAAAACGTTTTGACTTGAAGGTTCAACCAGATATTAATATAGACCGTAGGAAACTGGAGGACTCAAGCCATTCAACTGTTGGAAGAAGGCTATTTTTGCCTCTCCTGACATGTTTAGCGGTTTGACTCTAGTTACAGGAAATCAGCCGATAGTAGACTCGCTTATTTGAGCATAGATCAGCTCGTAGTACTGACAATTAGCTAGCAAGGGATCACGGGACAATGCATACACCGTAGTTTAAATTGTTTGAGAAATATGAGAGCAGTTAGTCGTCGACACCAAAAACAACGAGGACATTTGCTACTTTGGACAAGAAACATACTGCAAAGAAAGGAAGTCCGTAAATCGAAAATCAAATCCCCAGAACAAATCTCCAACTTATCATTTGTGTAACTTGTGGCATTTTTTAAAGTCTTTACTGTAATTGAGAATACTTT